TCTCTCCCTCTCTCTCTCCCTCTCTCTCTCTGTATCTGTGTCTCTCTGTGTATCTGTGCCTCTCTGTCCCTGTCTCTTTCTCTCACTCTCTGTTTCTGTTTGTTTCTCTCTCTACGTCTCTGTCTTTCTCTCTCTCTCTCTCTCTCTCTCTCTACCTGTATCTGTTTCGAGAGAGAAAAATTTCACAATCGGAGAGGCTGAATACGCAATGAAGACGTCTTAATAACCATACTTCAGTGCGTAACTAGTTCGTTAAGTGCCGTTACGTAGAGCGCCCTATCCAGGGCGCTTAAGTCATCAAAAAATTATCGTCAACGCACCTCTTATGTGCGCGAGCATTCCCATCATCCAACGCCCATATTCTTCCTGGAAGTGCAAGAAATCAGCTGACAAAGTTCTATCGCAATGGAAAGAACAGTACGGCAGCGCATTAAGTATGAACCAACAAACAAACATTCTATCGTAACACCCGGACGTTTCAAAGAGGAAGCGGAGGGAGGAGATGAAAAAGAATTGGCTGGTGCGCGGGCATACCTGGCCTCGTCCGGGGAGTACCTGGGCCCCCGGCAGAGCAGCTGCAGGGCGCGGGGCGCGCAGGACGGCACGGGCCCCACGCCGCACCACGACGCCGCCCACCTCGCCCGCGCCGCCCCCAGCGCGTCCGCCCGCGCCGCCAGCGCCGCCGCCGCCGACCCCTCCTGCTCCTCGCCCAGCGATAACAGAACATCCACGTTCCAAATTAAAATATCGGTATTAGAAATACATCGAGAAAAATCCGCATATGTTTTGAAGCCTTTTTAAAAAAAATTTTATTCATCATTCAACTATATATAGTAGTTAAAATGATGGAAAGAGTTTCTGGAGCTCTAAAAGACGTGAGCAGATGTAATTTCTCCCCTACACATCACATACAGTTTTTATAGTTTTTACTTTCTCGTACTTACTTACGTAAGTTAGAAGTTACTAGAAAGTATTGCAATCGTTCTCCGGAAAAACGACGAATTTTCGACACAAAAATTCTTATTGCCTGGTGATGACAAAGTGAATAAATGCAGTTTCTAAATTTAGAAAAAATCCTCTAACTCGTAGTGAAGCCAGAATCCATGTTTTGCGAGTCCATCATAAAATATATTGAAGGCAAACCGCCTGTCTGTCCACCTGCACAACGCTAGCGTATAAACCGTTCAGCCGATTTTCTCCAAAATTCATATTCTCCAATCGTTCTAACTGATGTCGCGGGCCCTGGGATTTGAAATCGATATTTTAATTTGGGGGTGGGGTACTTTACATGAAGCCCCACGGACATTTTCAAAATTAAAAAATTAGATATAATTTTTTTATTATTAAATTTACTGTTGAATACTGCAAAGGGCGTTTCAGAGAATGGTGTAAGACTCATTTTCATTTACATCCCCAATTTTTCGAAAATAGAGAAAATGTACAAAATTAGCTCTTTAAAAAAGTCACGTACAATTTTTTTTTAAAAAAACGAGTAGTTTTTGCGTAAATTGCGATTGAACTTATCGATTTTTTTTAATTGCTCCATATTTTTTTCTTTAAATTTTCTCCACAATAGTGATAAGGAACAGTAAGAAATATGACTTTTTCGAAAATTGCAAAAAACATTTGAATGTTACAGAATAGAAGATATTTTTGCCTCTGACAATATCTGTTGTACAAAACTACTTCTTTAATAAAGGTAATAATACAATTTTTTAACGAGTAGTTATTATGTAATTTCTTATTAAAATTAATGAATTATATACAGGTTTTACACCAACTGCGGATCACGAAAAAATTGAGCGAATGATATGAAAAATAATTAATATAATTTTAATTATAATTCACTATTGAAAATGTGAATATTAATTCTCTTTTCACTTTCTCGTTTTCTTTTACTTTTTACTCAATTTCTATTCAATGTATTGATGTATTTTCAATTAATCTGCAACGCGTATTAGAAATATAGCAACAATGCGGTACCGATATACCGATACTAATTGTTGTCGAACGCCGGATTTTAGCGGCGATAAGATTCAGCTGTTTGATTAAGTTCAACTGGCGGTGGTAGTGTAACTTTTAGTCGGCTTCCGACGGCAGGTTTTTCCCCCTTCAGGGTTTTTTTCCTGAGCCGTACCTTATGGTCTCTTTTCCGCGGCTTTGATGCGATGGAGAGACCATTTGGGGTGAATACCAGAATTCGACAGATTAGAACGCGAAAGGATGTAGGTATTGTAATGGCTTAAAGGCCGTCGGCCTAGCCACATAAAATCAAGTAAGCTAATTTGTCTGTAATAATTACCTATTAAATAAAATAAAAAAAATAAACTTTTAGTCCGAAAGTCAGGACTTCCGTTTGAGATGCATTTTGCAAATTACTCCTCAAAATGCCCGGTGAAGTATGTTATACACTATTTAATATCATCTAATCCCTAAAAAACTTCACTGCTTATTGCATAAAAGAAAAACAATGAAACGCTATCGGAACTGATATCTTACGACGAAAGTCAGCCCAGGAGTGAGCAGACAGAGCTTTCGTTATTATTTAGATGCCAAATGAATGCACATAGTTTTGACAACGCTGCGCTGACAACAGTACGTTGCTCGCTTTTTGGTTGAATAGCACATTTTCTTTTAATAGCTGATGTGGGAAACAGTTACGTAATTCCAGTACAGTAATATTGCAACTTCTATCAAAAAACATCTTGGCAATAACTTGAAAAAGTCCATTTATACCAATTCAAATGAAGTGCCTGTGGTATATATCTGCATTTAATTCAATACTTAGGAAAAGTAGTCATTTCTTACTTATATAAATGAAACAAACATGGATGTATTTAATTCTTACAGTATATGCAGCACATTCTAGACTAACACTGAATATAATATAAGAGTTGAATAGAAAACAAAAATTGTACACAAGCTTGTCTTTATTACATCCAAGTGAGCTTTGAATTTTTGAATACCATTTCATGGATCAAAACATCTTAAGTAAAAGAAGTGCATTTGTTAGTTCTAAGTTAAATCTATAACGTTCCTTCAATCTATTTTTTTCATAATAATATTATTTATATCATACAATTGACATGACTGGCAATAACAATAAAAATCCTGAGATTTAACAATCGCCACGTTACGATTTTGCTAACTGCTGGACTGAATTCAATTTCGCGTCTAATAAAGTTGGGGGAAAACGAATCTACAATTTGTTTTTTTTTATTTTCTAAGTATAGAGTGTGCATTGGAAATGAAACCAGTACCTCGTGGAAAAATTGAGAGAAAAAATCTGAGACAATAATTGTTTAAAAATAGCTTATTTTACGTAAAATTACGCAGAAAACCCTCATATTTTTGAAAAATTGATCGTTACCTTAGTTTAAAATGTTTTAATGAACACATTTGATTAACGAAAAGATCTTCATAGTGGTAGTTGTGTGAAGACGCTCAAAAAATGTAAACGTATGCAAATTTTGAAAAATCCGTGATTTTAACGAAAATGAAATCTGCACCATTATCTTCAGCATTCTTGACGCTATCCAAAAACGGAACAATGTAATCAAAAAATAATGTTGTGCCATTTCTTTCGAAAATTTTGATGATGTACCAGAAGCTTCATGTAAAGTATTCTGAATTTTATAATATTGGTTTCAAATTCAAAAGACGACCACATCATGCTGATCGATTGGAGAATATCAATTTTGGTGAAATTCTTGCTTACAGTTTAGCCGCTAGCTTTATTAACAGGCTGACAGACAGACATTTTACCGTTATTCGATTTATCGGTGTTAAGGACTCAGAACATTTATTCTGACTTCACGTTTTTCTATATGCTACATTAAATAGCATACACTTCCCACTTAAGTAGTGGTAACTGGGCAATTCCTAGGCATTTTAGGATCCAATTGGTTCCCTAGACTTCCCCACAGGACATTGAAGTTTCTTTCCTGCATTTACCACCAGCAATGATAAATTGCTTCATCGTAATTTACAAATTGTGTGTAAAGTTTAATAGAGCTTCTGAGAGCAATTAACAAGATAGTAGATCTCCTCGAGACGTGATCCCCAGGGTCTTAAGGGCACTGACTGTAAAGTATTAGAGGAAGTAATTTACTATACACACGGACATAAGTTTTTCTGTCCAAAATTCGCCATTTTTTTCTCAGCAGCATTACGATACTTTCTCTCTACCACGTATGCAGTAGCGAGAAATTAAAAATGAACAATAACAATGGACAAGCTGAGCATCAAAGATCAAGGGCATCTCAAAATTGTCAGTCCTCGGTTCGCTCAAGGAGCTACTGGAAGAAGTAGGTATCATCAAGCTGTGCAATGTATGACATACTTATGATGACGATAAATAGAAATTGCCGAAACGTTGTTTTTTATGAATTCGCAAAAAAATAATGTGATTATTTCGTTATATTTGTAAATTAAGCCAACGAGAAAGGGGGATCTTATCTTTTTCAATAAAAACAGCGATGGTTAGAAGACATGTCGCATCCCTATAAAGATAAGGTTTTTGTTTAGTTTCCCTGATTCATTGAACAAATGCTGAGATGGCCCTTTGTTTTGCATCTGGACGTAAATGTAGCTTCACTATGCGCACGTTTTGTTGAACTCTCCTTTTGCTTGAAGTGGTAAGAGTAGGGGTAATGTGGAGTTGCTATTTTGTTAGCAATGCAGAAGAATCATACTGGCCGATGCACCGATGCAAATACGTGTATAAGCAAATACGTATACCGATGCAAATACGTTTTCTATATCTCGGAAACGAAAATTACTATTTTCAAATATTGCTAATCTTGCTATTTTTAAAATTTATTTTAATGTGTGTTAAACTTTTACTTATATTTTAACAATTTATAGTTAAAATGACGGGAAGGGATTGTGGAACTCAAGAAAACGTGGGCAGATAATATTTTCTCACCTACGTCACATGCACTTTTTACTGTTTTTTTTTTGACTGAATAAATCTAAAAATCTGAATCTAAAAATCCCTACCTCGTCCGCGCCGCCCAGCCGCCACGTGACGTCGGCAGCCGCCGCCTGCAGAGCGCCCAGCTCGCGGTCCATCCGGGCCAGCAGCGGCGCCGGCCCTGCGCACCCACGCCACAGCCAATCTTCATCATCAATAATAATAATATAGTAATATAATAATATAATAATATAATAATATAATAATATAATAATATAATAATATAATAATAATATAATTACTGCTTTGAAAAAGATCCCGGTTTTCCGTAAGTCCATCAAATTATTATACATTACGTTTACAATACCTTTGTAAACATAACTAATACTAAATTAATACAAAATTATACTAAAGTTATAACCTATTCACGTGAACAATTTCTATTTGTTATTTATCTCTTTTAGTTTATTTTTAAACTTTCCGACACTCTGAGGTAAAGTCTGTAGCAGTACTGCAAGTAATTTGTTCCAATTTCTTATTGTTTTGTTAACGAAAGAAAATTATTCGATATCTGTTTTTTGCCTCCCCATAATTTTGCAATTGTGATTCTGACGACAGTTACGAGGACTGTTGGGAAACTAAGTAACGTTTTGTAAAAAAAAGAGCTCAAAAATTTGTTTTTCAAAACAAATTTTATTTTTACATGAAAGAACTTTTCTTAAACTATTTTACTACATATTTGTCAGTATTGTTCATACATTTATCATAACGGGAAACAAACTTTTCTAGGTCCTCTAAACAGAAAGATGCCAACAGTAAAAAAGTCATTTCTGAATGACGTTTCCCGTGTCGTAAGCAGTGACGCACTGAGTGTGAATTGAAAAAGGTACTAGCAATTTGAAAATAGGCGGAATAAAAAAAGCATTTACACTTTTTAGCCAAAATCGAAAATTTTTCATTGTTTTTTACTTTCCCGCATGCGTACGTATATACGGATTATTATTTGTAGTACAGTTATGTAATGCAACGAAAAATTGATTTCGAGATTTCAACGCAAATACACGTTTTGGGGTTTCCTGACACCGAAACGTGTTTTTTTTAAAACGTCCGTATGATGTAGCTTTAAATTTGTTTAGTCAAAAATCAGTAAAAACTGTATGAGACGAATGGAGGAGAAGATTATCTGCACACGTTTTCTTGAGTTCTAGAATCCCTTTCCATCCCTTTCATTTTAATTATAAATAATTGAAATATGAATAATAGTTAAAGATAAATAAATACAAAATAGAATTTTAAAAAGTGCGAGATTAGGGACATTTGAAAAACTAGACATTTTCGTTTCCGAGTTATGGAAATCTTTTGTGCAACGGTTAATGAACTGCAAATTTTAATTTCTGCATTGCTAACAAAAGAGTAACTCGCCCTTATCTCTACTACTACCACTACAAGCAAAGGGAGAGTTCAACAAAACATGAGCTAAGTGAAGCTACATAAATATCAGTATTGCATAAAAATATGTTCCCACCGTTAAGTAAGTCCGTTTTGGCAAATATTACAGATTCCTAAATAAATCGGCAAGACAGTGGTAAGATTCCAAGCTCAATTCAAGCATTTGTTCATTATTCGAATAAGTTTCTTTTGCAATATATTTTTTTTGATTCTACATGATCAACTTCCCCAGAATATTATGACATATCTCAGGCGGGAATGCACGCAACGAGCTGCAGGAAGGCTGACAGAATTTGAAAGAATTCTTAATCCTTAACATAATGAACTTAATTTAGGGTGTAATTTTGTTATATGTACATTCCATTTGAGGTTTGACTGAGTTGAGAGACCTAGAAATTTTGTTATCTGAACATCAGCTAATTGCACATAGTTCATTTTCATTGGAGCATTCGGTTGCTGATTTAAAATGCATAATTGCATAGACACGGTTTTTCCTTCGTTAACTATTAATATGTTATTACAAAACCAATTTGAAACTTCTACAATCGTTTTATTTATTGTTTCTTTTTTGCAAAGAATATTCGTGTCATCGACAAACAGAACCATTCTTCCGTTTGTAATAAACAAGGCATATCGTTTACTTATAACAGAAAGAGATTAGGACCTCAGATCGAGCCTTGGGGGCCCCCTATTCAATTGGTAAAGAATTGGAAAGATAATGTCCTTTCGTGCCAGTACGGTATTTCTACTCTTGGAGATCGATGTTTAAGATACGTTATCCAATCTAGGGCGATACAACGAATTCCACAAAAAGGTAATTTTCATAACAACGTGATATGGTCAATAACGTCAAAATCTTTCTCGTAGTGTCCGTAGATTTTGATTTACTATAGCCTTGTTGTGAGTATGAAAACGCTTCCTTTCTTCCTGAGGAAAGTTTCCATTCGCGTATAGAATAGCCTCTCTAATATTTTTGAGAAAACTGACAGAGAAAATGGCCGGTAATTTTAATTTCATTTTTGTTCCCTTTTTTAAAAATTGGCTTAATTTTTGCTATTTTGAAAATATTTGGAAATATTTCTGTGTATAAAGAAGCATTGAAAATGTGGGTTAACGGGTGTATGGCAGGTACACAAGTTTTCAACAAAAAAGTCCGGATATTCATCTAAACTAAATGAATATTTATTTTTTAGTTTACTGATTATCTCAGAATTTCATTAGAAGTAGTTTCGGAAATAAACATTGTGCCGAACACATTTTGGGAAGTGAGTGATGCTGAATTTTGTGGTTTTAGTCCCTTCGTGAGTTCTGCCGCAATTCTAGAAAAGTGGTTGGAGAGCTTTGCCACTTTTTCCTAATTACTTGCTCTTCCTTTAATATTCTTTTAAACAACATTCTCTAGTGAGTACGGAGATGATGTGGTCGTTTTATTTACGGTATTGATTTTTACGATATTGATTTTTTTACGATATTGTTTTTTACGAGAATATTTTCAAAATCTCAAATTTTTGGCTCGAGCCAGATGGACAAGGGGTTTCTTCAATTTGGAAACAATCCTACGCATGGTGTAGGCGCTAGTAGTGTTCACAGACGGACAGACGGACGTACGGACGTTTTGCCGTCTATTGATTTTTCGGTATTAAGGACCCACAGAACAGGGATTCTGGTGTCCTTGATACCTCCCACCAGTGGATTTCTTTTCTTAAGTTAGCCACTTGATTTATTAACTTCATCGTTGTCAGGGCCCGGCAATGAATTTCTTCAGCCGAAAATCCGTCTTTTTTTCCCATAGCATTACATAACTTACCATATTCTACTGTTGTATATTACTCTGTACTTATGTATATTACTCTGTACATATATTTGTACATGGGACAGTAAAATGGTACAATACACGTATTTTCCAAGCTTTAGTATTGAACATTTTTGAAGTTGAATGTTTTTCATTATTTAAAATATTTTGAATTTATGAACATCTGTGACATATTTTTTAAATTGCCTTTTCTTAACCCTAATAAACAGTTTGGCTTACAGTAAAATTCCACTGAGAGCCTAGTATTTATAAAATTTCCTTCGATGGTCCAGCCGAAATTTTCCGTGCCAAAGGCGCCCTTGCTGACCCCAATTCTGGCCGCGCCACGGTTTGCACTCTTTCCCCTCAACTTCCTTGTTTGCTCACCGCACAGATAGCTGCGCCACGGAGGATCGCAACTGGAGGGGGACCCGACGGCAGCCCGCGTTTTAAACAACTGCGCCGAAAATTAAGGGTTTACTGGCCGACATTTGCGTTGGGCTCGTCCCACTTGTACCCTTTCCATTTTCACCTCTTCCAAGTAAACAGGAATGCGTCAACAACCCAGCAGATAGAACTAACAGGAACGAATGTCGTCTCCTGACGGTACGATCAGTGTTCGTGTTTGCCCTTGTTCTGAAGATTCGTTCGTCTAATCCTGTTGAAAAAACGGCTCCCAATACAGCAATGCCAAATCTAAAAGGCGTATTGTTAAATATTTTGTTTTTTCCCTTAATTAATGTTTGAAAGAGACCGACCCTGACAGGATCCAAGCCTGGTATCATCTGATCATCTGATAGTTGATAGCGTTATACGGTGCGCCAGAGTTTCTATGTGTAAGAGACCTTACGTTTTGAAGATATTTTTCTTTTCTTGCCCAATTACATTCAGCACGCAAAATCCGCCTTGAAAAGAAGAGCTCAAGTTTCTTCCCTCAGGAGGAAAACAATTGCCAGAGAATCACGATACCCAACACGACTGTACAGGTATACAGCTATGAAATATTTTAATACATTTTCATCAAATCATATTGAGTCGAAGCTATCTAATAAATTAAGAAAATATAGGAGATCAAAATATATTCTTCGAAATATACCATTCAAATCGCCTGAATGATCTAAAATTGTGATTCCCAATTAATAATAAAATTATTAAGCAAGAGAATTGTGGCCCTGTGGCGCAATGGATAACGCGTCTGACTACGGATCAGAAGATTCCAGGTTCGAATCCTGGCAGGGTCGGTTGTTTTCGTACTTTTCGCACATCAACAGTATTAATGTTCTCAACATCATACTTGTATTAACTGGTATAAGAAATGGTGAGTCGTTTCAGGTGAAAAAATGAACAGTAGCGGTTTCCTCATAGTATGAGCAATAAATAGTTTTCTTGGAATTTTGACCTGAGAAGCAAAAATTGCCGTAGAAAGTACTTTTTGTAATTTTTCTATTTCGTCGCAGTCTATAAATCACCAGAACTCTGTGCGCATTTCCAAGACGCAATGTTATCTTTTAGACGCGTGAGGTCTTGAGTGTGATTTACAACAGCGAGTCTGTAATTCGGATGGCATGCTGGCGGGCTAAGGTTCTGACGATCTAAAATTTGCAATCTCGCTCGCAAAACTCGCCCGCAAAAGGATTTGCACCCCAATTCTGTAAATTCAAGCACTTCAAGTTTTTTTTTCATTAGTATCCAAGAAACGTATATTCTTTCTTCAGCAAAACTTTAGTAAAACTCAGTACTTCAACTCACTACAACCTCAATATAATGGGAGTTATAGAAGATAAATCATCAAGAAACTGATATGCGTAAATGAAGCGTTCTAAGAAAAAAAGTCTTTAGAAATATTTGTTCTTCTAAAAGAGTACAAGACGGTGTTTTTCTCCACTTCAAATCCCCTGTATATCTAATGGATTCCTAGAACAAATTTGTTGGCCCAAATA